ACAATAACTTGTCGAAGATCGAGAGGGGCTTCTCCACCTGGATGTTCTTTCAATGGAAGAGGAATACAGTCGAAGCTCTCTTTGCGACCGCTCACGTAAGCGATCAAGCTGTAGTTGCGACCACCAGTCTGAAACCCCGTTTCAATTGTCACTCAAACTCTGTAATTAAAAGCTCTCGTAAGCGATCGCTCCCGGCATCCGTAAGCGACCGCAACCACTTTTGGGAATTACCAACTGGTCGTTTCCTTTTGTTTTTTTAAGCTCTTGTAAGCGACCACTTGTTGTGCTACACATTTATGAGACATCGTAAATTTCGTAAGTGGCCAGCCTGTATTGTTTCAGCGCGTGGTTGCTTACGACAGACCATTCTCGTAAGCGACGCAGCTCTAGTTACGACCACTTTTTCGAATTCCTGACGTGGGTCGCTTACGAGAGCTTCGACTGTAGTAGGCATCCATCTGTCGAAAGACAATAATGGTCGCGCCAAAAAATGACACGTTACTAGCTAAGATATAGAATTAGAATATCAAAGAGGCGATACATTTGTAGTAAGCCAAAAATAAACAAGGATGGCTTAGATTGGAGAAGATTGAAACGGATTTTAAAATGAACAACGAACTGAAATATTTAAGACGCGCCATTCCTGACATAGCTCGTTTGAGATGAAAGATAAAAATATACCAGACAGGCCAAAAATAGGAAACGGTGGAAAGTGTCTAGAGCTATGGCCTCAAAAACCTCCAACATCGAGAAAAGAACAAAAACAACACAAAAATACTACTGTTGTATACGCATATACATACTGTGGTGACGTAATTATTTCAGCCCCGAAAGAATAATACTGACTGATATCCGAATCAAGCTTTCGGGTTATGGGAATATTTAACGACCTTATACCAAGGGGAATATTGACGTATTATTTTTCAAGCATGCCTATAAACATGTATAAAGAGCTTCTGGGGATTTGTAAGGACGGGCTCAGATCTGCAATGAATGATTTTTGCCCAGAAACAACCCTAAATGTGACTTATATGCAATTAATTAATGTAAAGATGGTAAATGTTAAGCTCGGTCACACTGTAGTAATGAACTGTATTAAGTTTGTCACGAGCGTGGGACAAAGAAAAAAAAGCTGAGTCCCCAACGGGATTCGAACCTATGACCTTCCGTAACGCACCGATCGGATGCTCTAACCACTGAGCTACCGAATATCTCGTGTAGTGAGCGGTCATATTAATTATAAGTCGAAAACGTTAACATTGCATACACAGTTGAAACCCCGCTAATTCGAACTCAGTTAGTTTCGAATTCCCCGTTATTTCGAACTCAAACCCATTTCCCTAGGATTTGCCCCTGTTTTTTTCAGTCATTTACTATCGGCTAATTCGAACTCGGTTAATTCGAATTCCCCGCTATATAGCTATTTCGAACTAATTGTGTTTCCCTTGGCCTAAAATCAAACCCGTTATTTCGAACTCTAATTAAAAAAGTTGATGGCCAAACATCAGAGGAGAGGGCATCAGAACACAGCTGGAAACGCACTGAACTTATTTATAACCTTTTTATTGCACTTATTTTGTAATTTATATATCTTGTTCCATTGCACACAGTTCCGTTGTCAATAACAGTATAGAAATTTGCTATTCCATAACGAATGTACTATGTTTTGTCAAGTTTCTTGAAATAACAATTGTATAAGGTATCAAGTTATTATTCTATCATGTTAATGATTAATGATTATTTTCGAACCCCCGCTAATTCGAACTATTTTCCGTTTCCCCTGAGAGTTCGAATTAACGGGGTTCAACTGTAGTCAGATTTAATTTTGAAGCTTTAGCGAATATTATGGACGCAAAGCATGGCAATTTAACAATTTAACTCCTCTAATTATTTTGTTAATATCCAAATGATGAAGTTCATCTTATCATGCTTTGATTTACGCAGACGGATGTAACTTAATTGTCCTTCCTCTATCTTTACATTACATCATTGTCAATTCCTTTTTTTAACTGATGCTTTTGCAATACTGTACTGAATGCATATGATCATACAAATAAAGCTCGTTGTTGTCTGTTGCTAATGTTATGAAGAGCTGAGTATCAAACAGAAATCACGTTTTTAAAAATCTAGGTAAAATTTATATCCAAACAAAGCAGAATGGCAAGCGCCACATTTCCCGCGTGCCAATATAATTTTGACTATTGTTCGATCTCGAACGAGCAATGAGAGGCCACAATGAGAACTCGCGCGCGGATATCACTATAGGAGTGTTCACTGTTGATCATACATTACGTCAAATTTGTTTTTGTTATTCAAATTTGTCAACCATTAAACAAAAGAACTCTTTGTTTCAACAGCCAATAGTTCTCTGGTTGGCACATTAATAACAATAGGTGACGTAACGAGAAACATCGCTATATTATATTAACCGTCGGACGTACAAGTGGGAAGAAAAAACGCCACACATTAAGAATAGCATTCGGACAAAATAGGTCAGAAATGACGAAATTGTTCACTCCAAATAGTAACTAATATTATAAATATTTATGTGCTATGAGTTACGTAGGTAAGGTAAGCGGCATTTAGATATGCGAGGTTAATACCTTTTTTTAAAGGGGTTACGTCACGGATGGCGCATCTTGAAAAAATTGGCAATTTTTTTCAAGTTCGCCGTTCGCAATCCGTCTTAATCTTGTCCATCCTCAACCATCCTTGTTCCAATTTGGTTTATCATCACCTCTTTTGTGTTTTTCTACCTTAGTAAACAACTATTTCCAGGCCTTCTTCAATTTAAAGGTGATTTTGCACTTCGCAAAAATGACTTAAAATATCGTGACATAGCTCCTTTAACGTAAAAACACAAGGGAAGCACGGTGGCCTAATGGTCAGCACGTTGGACTTCGAATCGAGAAGTTCGAGTCATTATGTTGTGTTCTAGGGCAAGACACTTTACTCTCACAGTGCCTCTTTCCACCCAGGGCCCAGTTTGTTCAAAGGGTGGATAACGCTATCGATCCACCGGATAAATCGCCGTCCAATGGATAAGTGTCAACAAAACATACTACGCTATCCACTGGATAACGATTTATCCGGTGGATAGCGTTATCCACCCTTTGAACAACTGGGCCCAGGAGTATAAAAGGGTACCGGCGACAAAATGCTTGGGGGAACAGCAACAATCCTAGTGGGCTTCATGCTGGCAGAAACCGGGATTAGCTCCGGCAGTATGGGCCAGTTTGGCCGCGGATGTAGGTTTTACCCTACGTTTCCAAACTACGGTGGCCCTACGAATGAATTTGTAGAATGCGTTATTTAAAATGTTCGTTATGTCATTTTGATCCATTGCAAAGGTTTTATTTAGTTCGTTGGACATTTTCTAGATCTGTCATTTGTTCATTAACATTACAAAGAAACTGGAGGACAAAAATACATTTCCAAACGGCTCAATAATACTGGACTACTTACAACAAGGACAATGGTTGAAGTTTTTTTTATATCAAACACAAAAGAAAAAATCATACGTCAAAACCGAGTTAATATTTAACGTTTTGAGCTCAAAATAGCGATCGACATTTGATCATGTTCTCCTTGCAATATCACAATATCATTACAATGTCAAGCAGAGAGGCGGGGGGGGGGGGGGGGGGGGGGGGGGGAGGGGTACTTGACCCATGTTTGAGTATAGGGGTGCCGCTGAGGGTTTGAAAACCTGACCCTGTTTAGGACAAAAAAACAATGAAAACCCCTAAAATACCTACCCTGAGAAGGACAACATCCTCTATGTTAGGACACTGTTTAGGTTGCATTTTAGCGAATCCCGTTTGACTGATACGCGGCAAACGTCCTCCGATCTCTAAATACTGTATAAACCATATTTTTTTAAGACGACAATCGTGCAACCAAGGCATACCCTGTTTATAGGACAGGTTCAGACTGACTCGCATGAAATTATATACCCTGTTAAAGGCAGAGAGGCCAAAAACCATACCCTGTCCAGCGGCACGTCCCCGTATAGGCCACATAAGGGAGTACCCTTCCCCCTCCCCCCCCCCCCCCCCCCCCCCGCGGGCAGAGAGGTGACGTAGAATAAAGAAAATTATCAAATAGAGGATATTGTATTAATGTAACTTGAAATTCTCACAGAGCTAATATCGATGAATGCCGGAAACGAGGTTGATATTTGGGGGTTAGGGGCTTAATGGGTTAATTGTTCGAGAGCCAAGCACTTCAAGGGAATGTGCTATTAAAGAAACTATACAGATTTCTCATAAGTATATAGTTGTACCTCGACAGTGCCGGATCAAGAAGACAAGCGCAAGTAAGTAAGTTTTGTGATTGTTTTGAATGTGTTTCTATTTCTTTAAAATAGAACGAAACAACGTATATATGTCATATAAGTATGTCATATTTGGCCAAAAAAAGATTTTTACCCCAACCAGCCTAAAATGATATAATCAGTTTTTAATTATCATTTAATCGGCGTATTGTTTTTAGTGTACTTTGTGCGGAATTGAGAGGATTTTAAGTCGAATTTTTTCATTCTCATCTGGAGACCACCTTTTTACTGATGTCAATTAAAACGAAAAGACAAACGTTTATTTAATATATTTTCAACTTGAATTTACGCGGAAACGTAAACGTTACATTTAGATTTTCTTAGCTTGTTGAACGGATGTCCAATTTATGTTTTTTTTTATATTTTGCCGGGTGTTTCCCTCTAACAACTTGTTGCTATATTTTTAGTGATGTTTTACAAATGGATGTAAAACTTCCTGGTAACATTAAGATTTACTTATAAACAGTACAACGAGCCAGTGAATTTCTCCACCTTAACATGTCGTAGGGGAATAGCTTATCTTATTGACGTGGCATTTCATAGAGAGATGTCTTCATACTATTGTTTCTCTCCTTTCTTTTGTTTTAAACACACTGACAATGGACAAACTTGTAGTGCGACCATACTGAGACACAATATCAAATTAGTCCCCATGGTTTTATAGACCCAAAAATAGTTTCAAGTTAGTTATATTTTTCTAATTTTTTTTTCAGATCTGTTTTAGAAATGACAAGCACGATAATTTTATTATTGTCTGGGACGCTTCTATCATTATACTTACCGTGCGAGGCTTATCAAGGTAGGAGTAATTCCTTTTTTATGGTTAAGAAAATAAAGGGAAGTGAAGCTTAAAGGAGCTATGTCACGAAATTTTAAGTCATTTTTGCGAAGTGCAAAATCACCTTCAAACTGAAGAATGCCTCAAAATAACTGTTTACTAAGGTAGAAAAACACCAAAGAGGTAATAATAAACCAAACAGGAACAAAGATAGTTGAGGATGGAGAAGATTAAGACGGATTTCGAATGGCAAACTTGAAAAAAATTGGCCAATATGCGCCAACCGTGACGTAGCTTCTTTAAGATCAAATACAGACGATGTATTGGCTTCAGATAAACAAAAAGCGTGAAATTAAATTATGTTTTTTCATTTAAAGTAACAGTACCTTTAGTTTTTTCACTTGTTAAAACTTGTTAAAACACGTAACACAACTGTCTATCAGTCTACCCAATGCTATGTTGATCTGAATAGATCAGTTGATGCTACAATGTTGACTTGTAGCTCGCTGTTTGCGATTTGTTGACGTGGAACAAAACTACTCTCTACAATATACCCTCACAGAGGGTGAAAGCCCATTACCACCCTTGTCTATGTCCTATAATTAATACAATGCTTAAATTGTACTATTTCAATGGTGCAATATTTTAATTTAAAATATTGCACCATTGAACTATTTCCTAAAAGTAGTTAAAGCTACTTTTAGGAATTTAACGAGAGGAACTTTGCCACCTACCACGATAAGCCTGATCAGCCTGTGGGTCACTGAGCTTCGAATGTATTTTCCCTGTATTTTTTAATTTGTGATCTTGAACGAATGCACACACCTCCCTTAAAAAAACACCACACATCTATATCCATTCATAGTTCTGGCCCACGCGATGCAAATTATTTGCTGTCCTTTTCTTGAGAGCTGTATGGGCTTTAATGGAGCACTTGTGATCAGTTACAGGAAATCTGCTCAAAACTGTACCCTCAGTTTGTGTTTTGGAAACTAAATGGCCATGGGTGGCGTTGCAACAAGAATTTCGCAAGTTTCGAGCAAGTTACACTGAAGGGTGTGTTTTCATTCAGTGCCACCCCCCTAATTCAGC